AATGCCCTTTCCTCCCGATAAGAAGGATGGAGGGTGACTCTAGCCCTGCGGCCTCCCCCACCGAACATCAAAGGAGATGGGGGCCAGGCCCGCACGCAGCAGCCCCGGTTGGCGGCCCGCCCAGAAAGACAGCATTAGCCGAATTCCTGGGCTTCTTTTGGATCCTGCAGTCCCGTCCCGTCCCCCACGTGTCCTGGCCTGACCCCCTGCGGTGCGGGTTCCTGGAAGCCGCGGGCACTTCCCCATAAGGCCATGGCCAACCCTGTCTCTGTGCTCACTGGCCTGCATGCCCGGACCCCTCCCCGTGGTCCACACCAGACCCAGGTCGCGGAGGGGAATACACATGCATATCTTATAATCTAGAAAAAGTAATTAAGAAAGGAGTAATGAATAAAAAAAGCAATTAGTAATGTAGTTACCTATAAATGGCTGGTTTTTCAAAATCTGGGGCCACAGAAAAATAATGCATCCCACCAGATTATTCCGTCTCGATTCCCGAGCCTCTCAGAGGGTGTCCCTGTGTACAGGAGGGCTCCCGGCCCTGAGCTGTGGCCCCACAAATGAGGGGAGAATGGCTCCCCTGCCACTAACTCCTTGTTTACAGAGAAACTGGAGACACCCTCTCCATTAAAAAAGTAAGAATGGGAAGGGCAACGAGGCTCAGAACTTGTTATATAAACTGCAAGGTGATAGGGCAGTTTGGGCCCAGGCCTCCTTGTCATTTCATCTTTTTCCTTCTTAAGGAAGGAAAAGAAAAGAAAACACCCCCTCCCCTGCACCCTGCAGGAGGGAAGGGGCAGTTCCCACCATAGAGCCTCCCCCTTCCCTGGGCAGGCCCCTCTGGGAGTCGGGGGGTTGGTAGCAGATTGGAGCATTGCTGTCAGGCGGCTCTCTCAGGACTGGGCTCCGGAATATGACTCTGGGAGCTCCTTGGAAGGTGGGACGGACAGAGAGGATGGGACCCAGCACCGGGCTCAGACTCAGAGAGAGCTGGCTCAGAGCCCGGGGCGGGGCCTCAGTTTCCCACGGGTAACCCTGAGCAGCCCATCCTGGGGTGGGGGTGGGGGGAGGGTCCATGAGCTGTGAAGCCAGCAGGCAGCATCTGGGGTGTTGGTCCCAGGGTTCCCTGGCTGCTGAGGGCGCGGTGCTGTCCAATGAGGGCTTGGAAGATACAGTGCCACACAGGCTCTGTGATTTCCTGACAACGCGTAATTGTCTGCCAACTGCAGTCAGGGCCTCCTGTCCTATCCGTTGTCTTGCTTCATCTCCTCAGCAGCCTGGGAGGTGGGCTCAGGTGAGGGGCCGCGGGCTCAGATGCTGGAGCCTCGAGTCCAGATCAAGCCCGAGCCACACGGCGAGGCGGGGCCAGGGCAGGGTTTGAACCGGAGCCTGGGCTGCCCTCGGTGGAAGCCCAGGGGACTCCAATCCTGACGCCAGGGTTCCTCCCCCTCCAGGCAATCACGAAGAGAAGCAGCATGAGGGGGGCATTGTGTCCAAGAACTTCACCAAGAAAATCCAGTAAGTAACCCCGTGTGTGTGTTTCCGGTGGGCGTGCAGGGCGGGAGGGGCCTGGGACCCCAGTTCTGGGGTCTGTACCCTCTTGGGCATCCCTCCCATGAGGCACCTCGCCCCCCGCCCCGGGGTAGGGAGCTGAACCTTCACCCTAAAGGGGAAATGTCACAGCGAAGGAATCATGTGAGCAGAAGGCCACCTGCAGAGCCAATGAGTCCAAGCATCACAGAGGGTCCCCCCTTCTCCCCCCGCCCTGAAACACCTGTGGGAAGAAGAGGCCGTAGGTCCTAATGGACACGCCTGTTTCTGACGGCATCACGCCACCCGGTGTCCTGCTGGCCCCGGAGTCTCGCCATCCTGGCTGCCGTGAGCCGCTGGCTGCAGCTCAATGTGCAGAGGGCAGGAGAGACCTCCCCCTCCCTGGAGGACGGAGAACTTGGGGGAAAGGTCCTTACGGTTAGGAACTAGAACAGCCCCGAGCTGGTCCCTCGTCCTAATGCCCTTTCCTCCCGGTAAGAAGGATGGAGGGTGACTCTAGCCCTGCGGCCTCCCCCACCGAACATCAAAGGAGATGGGGGCCAGGCCCGCACGCAGCAGCCCCGGCCGGCGGCCCGCCCAGAAAGACAGCATTAGCCGAATTCCTGGGCTTCTTTTGGACCCTGCAGTCCCATCCCCCACGTGTCCTGGCCTGACCCCCTGCGGTGCGGGTTCCTGGAAGCCGCGGGCACTTCCCCATAAGGCCATGGCCAACCGTGTCTCTGTGCTCACTGGCCTGCATGCCCGGACCCCTCCCCGTGGTCCACACCAGACCCAGGTCGCGGAGGGGAAAGGAGGGGGAGGGCGCTGATGTTTCTCTCAAGAGGTTCAAACGAGGTGCCCCCATGATGACCGAGCTGAGCCGTGACAGGGACGGAGGCAGAAAGAAGGCAGCGGGTTCATCATCTTACAAACATGGCCATTTTCGTGGATTTTGCCATCTCTGGGGCCTCAGGGGAAACGGCTCGCTGGGAGTTATTGAGCAGGTAGAACAGCCTGAGGCGGCCAGAGGCAGGGCTGCTGGTCAGCTGGGCCCGGCAGCTGAGCGGGCTCCTGTGACAACACTGCACTGGCCACTGCCCTGAGCCCCCCACGTGCCCTCCCAACCAGCCAGCCATCCTGACCTGCCCGGGACCCTCCAGAGCTCCCCACATCCCAGAAACTAAAGGGTCCCCAGGACCCTCTCCCCTCGCCATGGCCTGAATCCTCCCACTCTGATTGGTCAATGCCCAGCTGCCTGTGGTTAAATCTCATCTCACCCAGGGGGGTGGGAGTCCAGGCTCCGCTAACCTGAGCTGCTGTTCCCCCGTTTCCCACGGAGGCACCCCGATGGGGCAGGAGAGGATGTGTGGGAAGCACTTAGCACAGGGGATGGACTCGGGGCTCCTCCTCGGGAACTGGCCTTATTAAAACCTCCAAACCAGGGCACCTGGTCCGAGCCCTTGACTGAGTCTCTTCCCACCGCTGGGCCTCAGCTTCCGCAGGTGGAAAATGAGAGCTTTGTCCTGGACCATCGTGAGGACCCTTTGGGGCTCTGACATTCTGCGGGTCAGTGATGCCGGGCTTTGTGCTGAAACATCCACAGCCGTCAGGGTGCCCGCAGCACGGCCCATGGCTGCGCAGACCTAACCCTCAGCAGGCACTCCGGCGCACCAGGCACGGGTTCTCACTCACCTGCAGAGGCTGACACTGGCGCGCAGCGGGCTCTCGCATCTGCGTGACCCGTCTTAGAGTCACTTCTGTCACTGTAGTTGCCAGATTCAGCAAATATTTGAATTCGACCCTGGCTGGGTAGCTCAGTGGGTTAGAGCATCGTCCCGATATGCCAAAGGCTTGATCTCCGGTCAGGGCACATACAAGAAGCACCAATGATGCATGAATAAGTGGAACAACATGTCTCTCTCCCTCTCCCTCTCTCTAAAATCAATACATTAAAAAAAGAGAGAATTTGCCACGCCCATTCTCCGGACCATAGCCACCTCTGCCATGGTATTCAGTGCCCACTGGGTTGGCATGCGGGTGGTTAAGCAGAGCGGGCCCATCCCAGCAGCCAGGGGGAGGGCCACACTTGCGCAGCTCTGCTTGGCAGCTGCCCCGTTCCCTCCTTCTCTTCCCTCCTTCCCACAGGCCCCGCTAATGCCCGCGGCTTCCATTTGGCCGGCGTCTCCAGGGTAGACTCGGCACATGGGGCTACGGGTTGCCCCTCCAGGAAGGGCCCTGCCCATGACCCGAACGGGCTTACCTCAGTTCTGGGTTCTTTCATCAAGACCCGTGACTTTGCTTTTACAACAGGCAGAGCCAGCCGGGGCCAGGAGAGCTCTATGCTGATCGAACCTTCTGTGTCACCCCTGCCCCCTGCCCCACCCCATGGTCCCTTTTTCAAAAGCACCTGGTCCAGCCCTTGACTGAGTCTCTTCCCACCGCTGGGCCTCAGCTTCCGCAGGTGGAAAATGAGAGCTTTGTCCTGGACCATCGTGAGGACCCTTTGGGGCTCTGACATTCTGCGGGTCAGTGATGCCGGGCTTTGTGCTGAAACATCCACAGCCGTCAGGGTGCCCGCAGCACGGCCCATGGCTGCGCAGACCTAACCCTCAGCAGGCACTCCGGCGCACCAGGCACGGGTTCTCACTCACCTGCAGAGGCTGACACTTCCGTTACCCCTTTCCCTATAAGGAGGTAGGCCCAGGGGGGCAAGAGCACAGGCTCAAGGCCACACAATCAGGAAGAGTCAGAATTTGAATTCAGGACCCTGGCTGGGTAGCTCAGTGGGTTAGAGCATCGTCCCGATATGCCAAGGTTGCAGGTTCTGTCCCTGGTCAGAGCATATACAAAAATCAACCAACAAATGCAAAAATACGTGGAACAACAAATTAAGTTTCTCTCCCTCTCAAAAAATCAATAAAAACAAACAAACAAACAATCAAGGCAGGTTCTGGAGCTGGAGTCGAACCCAGCATTCCCTCTTACGCCCATTCTCCGGACCACATAGCCACCTGCCATGGTATTCAGTGCCCACTGGGTTGGCATGCGGGTGGTTAAGCAGAGCGGGCCCATCCCAGCAGCCAGGGGGAGGGCCACACTTGCGCAGCTCTGCTTGGCAGCTGCCCCGTTCCCTCCTTCTCTTCCCTCCTTCCCACAGGCCCCGCTAATGCCCGCGGCTTCCATTTGGCCGGCGTCTCCAGGGTAGACTCGGCACATGGGGCTACGGGTTGCCCCTCCAGGAAGGGCCCTGCCCATGACCCGAACGGGCTTACCTCAGTTCTGGGTTCTTTCATCAAGACCCGTGACTTTGCTTTTACAACAGGCAGAGCCAGCCGGGATCAGGGCCCTGGCTGGGTAGCTCAGTGGGTTGGTTAGAGCATCGTCCCAATATGCCAAAGGTTTGATCTCCGGTCAGGGCACATACAAGAATCTGATCGAACCTTCTGTGTCACCCCTGCCCCCTGCCCCACCCCATGGTCCCTTTTTCAAAAGCCGGGTGCCAGAGAGCTACTGTGAATTCACCAACATGTTTCTCTCCCTCTCCCTTCCGCTCTCTCTAAAATCAATGCATTAAAAAAAGAGAGAATTTGCCACTCCCATTCTCCGGACCATAGCTGCCTCTGCCACGGTATCCGGTGCCCACTGGGCTGGCATGCGGGCGGTTAAGCAGAGCGGACCCATCCCAGCAGCCAGGGGAGGCCACACGTCCGCAGCTCAGCTTGGCAGCCGCCCCGTTCCCTCCTTCTCTTCCCTCCTTCCCACAGGCCCCGCTAATGCCCGCGACTTCCATTTGGCCGGCATCTCCTGGGTAGACTCGGCGAAGTGGGTACAGGTTGCCCCTCCAGGAAGGGCCTTGCCCATGACCTGAACGGGCTTACCTCACTTCCGGGTTCTTTCATCAAGACTTTGCTTTTACAACAGGCAGAGCCAGCCGGGGCCAGGAGAGCTCTATGGTGATCAAACCTTCTGTCCC